CAGTAGAGTGGCTCAAATCTGAGTTCGCACCATTGCCCAAAAAACCAGGAGCAAAAGTTTGTGAAGACCATAGGATCCTAATATTGTTCCGAAGCTATTTTCTTGTGGCATTTTAAATTAATTACTATTTAACTGGGAATAAGCCACAATTAATGATAAAAATACGTTTATTGACGTTTCAATTTCCACTTCGGAAATCGTTCTCAAAATACAAACAGTAAATTAAACAAATTTTGTTTTTTTGTTACATAGTAAAAAATTCTTCTAATAATTTAATTTTATCTGACTCATTTATATTGACAATTCAGACATACACTTATGCATTTTAAAGTAGACGACTTTAAAATGATATTGCCAATATTGTTGAGTTTTATTTAGGTGAAACATCAAGGCCATTAAATGTTAGAATAAGTGAACATCAATCTTATAATAAAAATAGAGAATTTGATAGATCTCAAATATGTAAACACGAATGGGATAATCAACATAGGGTTCAATGGAATAATTCAAATGTAGTCCAAAAGAAACGGATGGTAAAAAAAGAAAAATCAAAGAAGCGGCTCTAATTATGCTAAATGAGGCCAACTGTGTCGCAAATTTCTGGGCAGAATGTAGTAGGATCTGGTTACCAATATCGAAAGAGGAAGTTATTAATACGAAAATACCAGTATTATTAAGTCAGTAACATATAGAGGATACATCATTTATGTTTTTTTAAATAACGAAACATTTAAAATCAGAATTTTGGTGTTTATTGAAGGTAAACTAAATGCACGAATAAATACTTACCATGTCGGGATAGTATTATGAGGTTTTTTTTCTGGTTTTTCCCTCATAATTTACTATGGAATCACTAACAGGAGAATTTTACTGTCATCATGTCATGTGTTTGTCTTTTTAAAGACGAATTACATGCTATGATTTTTTCTGACGGATATTCTCAAGTTAAAGTTGATTTCATGTAATCGAATGAACTATCTTATAAGTAAAGGTCGTCCCAGTAGCGCAACTCAACAATATTGGCAATATCATTTTAAAGTCGTCTACTTTAAAATGCATAATGTATGTCTGAATTGTCAATATAAATGAGTCAGATAAAATTAAATTATTAGAAGAATTTTTTACTATGTAACAAAAAACAAAATTTGTTTTAATTTACTGTTTGTATTTTGAGAACGATTTCCGAAGTGGAAATTGAAACGTCATTAAAAGTATTTTTATTTTTCGAAAGAAAATGCAAAAAAGTATTTTTAAAGTGTGTATATTTTAGGCAATTCCTAGCTGAGCGCTTTCGGCTTTACAAAGCCTTCATCAGAGCTATGCTACAATTAAAATGTTCTTATAAGTAGATACTAATTGGTAAAGATTATAATTTTTAACTTACGTCAATTTTTTTAAATACCACTACAAAGGAGAGATCTCATTTTCCTTATATTTCAAAATTATGATTTTTTTAGTTGTTGAAATTCTTAAAACATATAAAAAACATATAAAAAGCCGACACTGGACTTCACAAACACGTTAAAAAATTGAAAAAATTTTTGTTATGGTACGGGTGTAAGAACCCGACCATTGATTGATGTGAGGAGGTAGACAGAATAGAAACTAATGAAATCAAATGTCGGTCCTTTTAAACGATTTTTCAAAAGTGACAGTTGACAAATGTCATATATAGGAAATAGAGATTGTTTTTTTAAATTCTTACAAAATTATTTAATAGTTTGGAATTACTAATAGTCATCAAAGACTTTCTAAAAATTAAGTTTTTAAATTAAATTTTATGTGTTCATCACACCATACAGGAGAGATGGAGATCAGATCAAAATCTTAAGGGGAGTGAGACAGGGGTGCATAATTTCACCACTGATTTTCAATCTATACTCGGAGCACCTTTTTGTAGAGGCTCTAAAAGATATCGTTGATGGAGGCATCTTAATAAATTGAGTCAAACTCAATAACCTACTGCATGCAGGAAGATACAATAGTGTTTTCCAATACCATAGGAAGGGCTGCAAAACTTAATAAACAAAATAACGGAAAGAAGTAAAAACATATGGACTGACTAAAAAAAACATCAGCAAAGCCAAGCTAATGATCATTAGCAAGGAAAACATAACTGGAGCAAAATTTTTTGTGAACCAAATGAGAATTAAACGTGTCTCACAGTACAACTACTTGGGAACTATAATCAATGAGTCGTGGCACAATACACAAGAGATTAAATGTCGCATTTGAAATGCAAAAATGTGCATTATTGACTATGAGCTCTGTGTTCAATAGCCATAACCTCAACCTAAAAACGAAAATAAGGCTCATTAAATGTTACGTGTACTTAGTACTTCTGTATGGACTAGAAACGTGGACATTGAAGGCGAAACTTTTCAATAACTTCAGGCGTTTGAGCTATGGTTTATACAAAATAATCCTGAAGATACCATGGACAGGCAAATTCACCAATGAAGAAGTAAAATTTCCCCAAAAAGGCAAATTCATGGTTACAACAGCAAATTTTACTAAGATGTAAATTGGAGCTGGAAAAATCAGATAATAGAAAATCAGATAATAGAACAAAGGCATAATAAAGACATAAATATCTAGGCATCACATTATCTAGCTACGGAAAGCTCGAAATTGAAGTGGAAGATCAAGTGAATAGAGCAAACAAAGCCTCCGGCTGCCTGAATGAAATAATATGGAGAAATAAAAATATCGGGAAAGTAATGAAAGGCAGAACTTACAAACCAGTCACCAGACCAATAATGACATATTCAGCAGAAACACGACCTGACACAGAGAGGACAAAAATAATATTAGAAACAGCAGAGATGAAAAATTGATGGTAAGTCAGTATGGGACAGAGCTAGAAGTACAAATATACGACGTAGATGCAATTTGGAGAACGTCAAGAATTGGGTGAGAAATAGAAGAGTAGAATGGATCGACTATATAAGCCAAAAGACAACCCATAGAGTAGTAAAGACGGCAAGAGACGATTCCCCAATAGGAAGATGATCAGTAGGAAGACCAGGAAAACGATGGAACGACAAAAAATATGTCTACATTAAAAAAGAAGAAGTATTATTGATTCAACATCGGATATATCTCATGTAGATTAGCTAACTGTCATTATTTGCTATGTTCTTCCAAGTACTATAAAAGAAAGATTTTTGGTATTTTTACTTATATTTTCTCATAAAACATGTAAAAACTGGTAAATACTGATGTGCTAAAATCTGAAGACGCTAGGGATAACAGGATACAGGAAAATCTTAATGAAGAGCTGACAAGAATCCACCAAAAATATAGAACACTGAATCTAATGCAAGGAAGCTATCCATACAGCGGCTAAAGGCTTTTTAAAACCTAACCAGTCTAAAATAAACGAAGATTGGTTAGACGTAGAATGTAGATCCATTAACCAACAGAAAAATGAAGCATATAAGAGACTTCAGCAGCGCAGAACGAGATCAAACCCGGAAGACTATGACAATCTTAGACGAGAAGAAAAAGGAAAAGGACGTTTAGATGGAAAAAGAAAGAGCTATACGAAATCGCTCCAAACGAGATTGTTAAATCACCACAAAAGAAAAGACTCGCGAAAATTCTACTAGAAGATAAACATCTGCGGAAAAGAATTCAAACGCAGAATAACAGCATGTAATGACAGAGATGGTTCCATAATTAGTGATAAAGAACAGATGGGCGAATCATTAAGGGCGTCTGCGCTGAGAATGGGATTAAAAATAAACGCACAGAAAACCAAGTATATGTATTGTACTAGATCAGGCAACCAGATACCTACACTATTAATTTATGATCTGGAACTGAAAGGTATGGACACCTTCGTCTACTTGGGCTCTCTGCTGCTGACCACCAAGACAACAATGTCAGCGAAGAAATTAAAAGAAAAATAGTGCTTGGAAATAAGTGCTATTGTGGCTTGAGGAAACAGATGGCCTCAAAACTACCCAGAAAAATTAAAGTTACCATATATAAAACACTAATAAGGCCAGTGTTAACATATGGATTAAAAACGTGGTCAATTACACAGAACGACCAAGAATTGCTTAAATGTTTCGAGAGAAAAATTCTAAGGAAATTATAAGGAGGAGTCCAAGAACAGGGTTTGTGGCGTAGGCGCAACAACTTTTGATTTATACAGAAGTTTTGGGGAACCTGACGTTGTAAAATGTATTAAATTAGCACGCCTTCGATGGATGGGACATGTAATTAAGCGAGATCAGGTACAGAGTTATTATAATGTATTTACTATGTCAGATAAATATAAGGGAGTGCAATCCAGAATAAAAAAAAACATATTTTTTCTCCATATTATAGTGTCTCCAAATCATTCATTAAATATAATTGAAAACGCTAAGTACACTTGAGTATTAAACCTATTTGTGAGACTTTATCTCTAGACTTGTAGACTATCTTCAAAGGAAAATTAAGCAGAAATAAAACATAATTTACCTAATTTTTCCTCAAACATAGATGAAAAACCATTAACAAGGTGCGAAACTGCTGGTTTCTATAAAAAAACTTGATACATTTGGGTATGTAATGTTATATACTATATTAGAAAAATTTTATGAGCTAATAAATGCTTTAATCAGACTCTTCAATTTTTGTAGATCCATATTCACGACTGTACAGTAGGCTCGAAATTACAATGTTGCCTATGGTCCGCTTTAGCCTTAGTCCGCCATTCTCTCAGGTCGTTTTCTTGCGCAGCTCTTTCTTATATTTTCAGTATACCCTTTACTAATTCTTTTTATATTTTCTGGCTTGCTTTAATTGAAAATATTTTTTTTTCAATCGCTTTTCTCTCTTCGGTTGCATGCTTTCCAGTATCCATGTTCTGTTTTCTCTATTTTTTATCCCAATCGTTTCGTTTAAAACGTACACCGTTTTAATCAGAGTGAGAATAACTACAAATCGAATACCAAAAAGTATACGCAAAAAAATATAATTTTAACAATGTTCAACCATTTTCTGGCTTACCTTTGTCCTTGACTAGAACACCCAGGGTCAGGATTATTCTCATCCGAGGGCGGTCCATGACTAACAATGTTAGGATTGGGCTGACCGCCTTGAAAATAGAAACCACCCAGTCCAACAGTACTAAGCGGTGTTCTCCTACCAGGGATTTGTTGATGATCGTCAGAATTGGTTGGAAATTGAGCAAAGCCAATTTGGTCCACAGCAGCGGATCCGCTAGTATGGGAAGAACTGGCTCCAGCCACAGAACTCCCCTAAAATATAAGTTACTTTAAATCATCTAACATTGTCTTAATAAGCTCATAAATATTGAAAAAATATAATGACTTACCGCTGCCTGCCATCCCCAATTCGGCGCGTTACCGCTTCTTAACCATTGCGGTGGTTCTACCACGCCCCTAGAGATGGCGTGCATGGTAGGCTCGTCGCCTTCTGAGGACGATTCGCAGTCGAAGGATTTCATCCTTATGGAAGGTAATTCAATATCACAACTTCAAGATCAGAGCAGGGAATCAGATTTTTAGGTTAAGATACTAGTTATTTCCGATGGTTTGTTTAATTAATCTTGTAGACTAGGTAACAGCACCACATGCCAAGAAAGTATTTTTTGACTAGCTAAAAAGTAATAAAAAAATTAATTAAAATATAAAATAATAAGAATAATAATTTCAATAATTATTAATTTTAATTTTAAAATTTTCGATATGCAAAATGGCCAAAACATCGAGGCTATGGGCGAAAATGACATGTATAAATATCTAGCAGTAAAGTAAGCACCCGAAAATTTACCATAAACAAATGAAAATCGAATTAACATCAGAGTTCATACGAAGGCTAAAACAGCTACTCCGCTCACATCTTATTAGTAAAAATTTGTTTAAGGCATTAAACACCCACGCATTTTCCGCTCTTAGCTACTCATTTGGGATTATTAAGTGGACTAAAACGGATGTAGAAACTCTTCAGCGTAAAGTACGAACACACCTCACAAACATACAAAAACACCATCCTCGAAGTGCAGTAGAAAGATCGACATTTAGAAGGACGAGGACTTATTGATATGACCCAGCAATTAGAAAAACAGATTACTAATTTAACAACTTATTTTCAGGTGCAGGCGGAGACATCTACTCTTCATCGCGCGATTTGTGCAGTAGATGACAAAACACCGATCACACTGAGAGAACAAGAAATGTGTATAAACCATCTTACTAAGAACGAAAAAATGCGAATCTGGATGGGTAAACCTCTGCACGGGCGACATCCGAATGAAGTCAGTCAAGACTATGTCGACAATATAGCGTCGAACTATTGGCTGACTTCAGGAAAGATGTTCCCTGAAACAGAAGATTCATTACTCGCCATTCAGGATCAGGTTATACCAACCAAAAATTGTCTGAAAATATATCGTCAAAGAACCCTCAGGTCCAAAACCACAAATGCCGATCTGGATGTCAAGCCCAAGAAACTATCCAACATCTTACCGGGGGCAGCCAGGTATTTGCTGCAAATCAATATAAGGAACGGCATGACTCAGTAAGGAAGATCCTCCATCAAGAGATATATTTTAAACTGGGACTTCTACAAACAAACTATCTCCCATATTATTAATACGTTCCTGAAAGTATGCTTGAAAATGACAACTACAAGCTATACTGGGTTCGCACTGTGCTCACAGACCAAACTGTAGCACATAATAGACCAGATCCCGTGCTAATTAATAATCTAACAAGACAAACAACTTTAGTCGATGTGGCGATAACTAACAACAATTATCTGCCTGTTAAGTACAGCAAAAAGATCGCCAAGTACAGAGATCTGGAAATACAAATGAGGAGACAATGGAGAATGGAAAGTACCCAGACGATACCTATTATTCTTTCTACCACTGGAGTCATTCCTAAGAACCTAATAGAAAACGTAAAAAAAATGGGTCTAAACGAACATCTATATAAGATCATGTAGAAATCTGTTCTACTTTCGACGTCCAGATGCGTGCGAAAATTTTTGGGAGATACACTGACGAACTAAGTCATTTAGTACTTGATAACATGGAAAGAGTCCCACCAGAGATCAATCCTTTTGATACCCTAGGTATCTGCGATGAGTTATTTTTGCCCTTAGAGGGATTGTGAGCCGTATGGCAAAATCTGGGATAAAAAATTTATTAATACAAATATTTCATGATTCTATCTATCAATAGCATATGTACTAATTTTTTAAATTTAGGTATGACTCCTTCGTCTTCATTGTGGTTGTCATTAATGCTTTAAGTCTTCTTATTTCATCATCTGTCTTAATAATCTTTGTTATTGCTAAGCCCATATATATTTAATTCTAGGGCGTGTCCGTCGGTTCTTTTGGTTTTGCTCCGTATCCCTTCATTTTTCTTTCTGCCTCGCAATGTATGTGTGTGTTGTAGGAAATGTGACTGCGAATTACTAAATTCAATCGTTTAACCAATTTTAATAGTCAATGCTATTTAAAATGTAAAACAAAAATTACAAAGTGCAGAAATTCACGATTCTGCCTCGCAATAATATGCCAAACAATTCTCTTGTTATGTCTCCCGGCGTCACCCAGGTGGTGTCTAATGGTACCCCCAACACACTTAAAACTAGCATAATTCTATGGTTAATACACGGATGTTTTATTGGTTGCCTATAGCTTCCTAAAACATGTTGCCGTTGGGTATTCTGAACCAATTTCAGTTGCAAGTTGATCGTCAAATTAAGTACAGTGCTTTGCAATCCGATTAGACACCACCTGGGTGACGAAGACACAATCGTGCATTATTTGTTGTACACATAAACTTTTTTCTCTAGAATAAATTACTAAAAAGAGCAAGCCAACCTATTGGCACTTTGGCAGGAACTCGACGATGATGAGTACGAAATTATGGACTCCGACGATGAAAACGAAATTAATCAGTCTGATAATGAACAAAATAAAGAAATTGAGGAACTAGAAGTATTGGAATCTGAAAATAAGTGAAAAGAAGATAAAAAATATCCTATTATTTAGGTAGGGATTCCAAAACAAAATGAAGAAAACACCATAGTAATAAAGCAAACCATATGCTTAAAAACGTTAAGACTCTTTGAGGTTGCTGGCTTCTTTTTTTATGAAGAAATGCTTGAAGGTATCACGGTCTGCACCAATGTATTATAGATAAAAAAGCGTTAGCCTACAAAGATAAAGCATATTGTAACAGGACCAATATTGTTGAAATAAAGGCATTATTTGGCCTCCTCTACCTAGCGGGTATATATAGAAATAATCATCGTAATCTAAAAGACCTTTGGCGAACAAAATGGTACAGGAATCGATATATTTCGTTCAGTGATGGCACTCAACAGATTTCCATTATTATTGCAGTGCTTTATGTTTCGATAATGTAGACAATCGACAAGAAAGGCAACAGTCTGATAAGTTGACTCCTATTAGGACAGTTCTTAAAAAATTTGTCGCGAATTGTTAACAAGCTTACTCACCAGGACAGTACTTCACTATTGACGAGAAGTTAGAGTCTTTTCGGGGCGTTGCTTATTCCGGCAGTATAATTCCGAACAAGCCCGCGAAATAAGGAATAAAAATTCAGGCACTGTACTGTAAAGACTCCTGTACTTTTTATGCTTTTAATATGGAAATTTATACAGGGAACCACCCAGATGGGCCGTACCAAATAAGCAATAAACCTATTGTCCAAAAGACTGATAGCACCAATTTCTGGTAAATATCGAAATATTACTTTCGATCATCGGTATACCTCTTACGATTTTGCGTGAACGACATCGTTTAACTTCAGTAGGAACTCTGTTACTCTGAACTCTCAATGTTATCCAGATATATGCCCCTACTGCAGAAAAGAAATATGATAATGATGTCGAATCATTCTATAGCCAATTAAAACAGACACTTAAATATCTAAAAAGTAACAAAGTCACATATATTATTGGAGATTTTAACGCAAAAATTGGCCAAGGCCAAAGATCTGACCTGGTAGGTGAATATGGACTAGGGGAGAGCAATGAAAGAGGCGATAGATTATACCAGTTCTGTCCAGAACATGACATGATAATCGCAAATACATGGTTCAAATTACACAAAAGAAGGTTATACACATGGAGGGGACCAGAGGATAATTCACTATTTATGATTAAAAATCAGATAGACTATATTCTGGTAAACAAGAGATTTAAGAATGGCGTCACCAGAGTAACGACATATCCTGGTGCAGATATCGGTTCAGACCATAACCCTGTAATAACTGACATCAAAGTGAAGCTCAAAAAAGTCCAAGAAAGCCCCAAAATACCAGAATTAAATATCTCAATATCCAACACAACGTTAATAGAAAATGACTTAAACAATGAGCTAAAGAAATCAATAAATGAAAACAACACAGAAATATGGAACACATTTAAAGATCTTACCTTGAAAGTAATAGAAAAATATTCAACAACGTTACACATTCACAAAAAACAACAATGGATAACTGACGAAATCCTGGAATTAATGGAGCAGAGAAGGAAACTGAAAGGTAAAAAGACAGAATATAAGGAAAAACAGAAACTAATTAAACAAAAAATAAAGGTTACTTAAGAAAAATGGATGGAGGATAAATGCAAGGAATTAGAAAAGTTGAATGAAAAACTTGATACGTTTAATATGTTTGAAAAAGTTTTAGAGAAGTAGCTGGTCTTTATCATAAGAAAACTCCATATACTATAACCGATTCGTCGGGAAAAATGATAATAGACGAACATGAAATTGGAACAACCTGGTGTAATTATATAAGTGAACTGTATAATGATGATAGACCCGAAGAACCGGAGACTTTAGTTGAAGGTGAAGGACCAGAAATACTAAATTCAGAAATACTGCATGTTATAAAGTTAGCAAAGAACAAGAAAGCCGTTGGCACTGATAACATACCGACAGAGATATTAAAGCTTATAAATGAGGAGAACATTGGAATACTGGTCAAACTTTTCAATGATGTTTATTCGACTGGTGATATCCCTGAAGATTGGTTAAAGTCCGAATTCATAACACTACCAAAAAAAACAAAGTCCGAAAAACTATAGCGATTATAGAATGATAAGCCTTATGAGCCACACTTTGAAAATATTTCTACGCTACTTATCATCCACAGTAGAATCAGAGATAAATGTGAAGAAGATCAGGATGAAACACAATTTGGCTTCAGAAATGGACTGGGAACTCGGAACGCCCTCTTTGCACTAAATGTATTACTGCAGAAATGTCGAGATCAAAAGAAAGACGTCTTTGCTGTATTTATTAACTATGAAAAGGCCTTTGATCGAGTACAGCATCACAAATTAATTACAATATTAAAAGATAAAGGAGTTGATAGTCAAGACATACGATTCATAGAAAAGTTATACTGGCGTCAAACAGCGACAGCTTGCATAAACGGAAAACCAACAGAAATATGTA